TTTACATATTTGACCCCTGTGACCTTGAAAATTGATGAAGGTCATTTATTTGAACAAACTTGGTAGCCCTTCATCCAAGCATGCTTCTGGCCAAATATCATCATCTTAGGCCTTTTGGTTACTGAGAAGAAGTTGTTTAAAGTAAAAAAGTTGACGCCGGACGGACGCCGCACCATGCCATAAAATATAAGCTCACTTGGCCCTTCAAGCCAGGTGAGCTAATGATCAGCACACATTTTTTGGGGTCTCGAAAGAAGCTGAAAAGGCACAGATATACTACTCATATTTATTTCCTAAGTACTGGGATACATAAAACAACAAATATTGGGTTGAAAAGGTATGAAAATAACAAAGAGATAATTAACTATATATTGTATGAGTAAAACTGTAAAGGAAATGCCTAATCTTCACTAAGACCTAGCTATGGTACAAGACACACCTTCACCCCTACATGTTCTACATGTTCCATGAAAAACAAGAAAAGTATGGCCCAGAAATCTTTCTTTCCTGTTGAGTTCAGCACAATTACATACAAACTCATCAAAGGTATTTTCATATTTCACCCTTTCATAAAGTCTGATGAAATCTGTGGGTAACTCTACATGTATATGCCCACTCCCCATAACGTGCTGGGCGCAAGAAAATGTCACCTTGACCTTTTCAAAATTAAGCACACCCTCTGTGAAGCAGAAAGTATACGTTGCTGTAACCTAATGTTAGCATATGACACTCCTAAAACTTAACAGCATAATTAGTTTGGTCAACCTACATGAAAATGTCAGAAATAAGAGGCTCAATGGTCATGTATCATTTATCTGTTATTCCATGCTGTTGTAAACAAATCTCACATTTGTGACCTTCAAAATGGCCAAGGTTAAATTTATTCAAACAAACTTACGATAAAGCATGCAAATGCTACATCTTTATTTCATACAGCTTCGTGATTTTCTTTAGAACATTTTAACTTATTTTACTCAAGTAAATTTCAAAGTTGATAAAAGTTATTTAATTGAACACATCTGACAAGTTGTATTTTACCAGCAAACTACAGGCAACATGTTATAACTCTAAACCTTATGGGTGTTTTGAAGAAGTCGTTCCAGATTTTTCATAAACTTAGCCAAAACTTTGGTAAAGTTCATTATTTATTGGGCAAATATTTCACCCATCAGCAAGCTTTATGCCGAATATCATTCCTTTAGACTTCATGAACCTTTAAAAAAAGTTGCTTGGACTAGTGATAAAGTTTGATACCAGTGATGAAGTAATTCATCTGAACAAATGTAATAGCCCTTAACACTAACCCACTCTAGTACACTCAGAAACACTCCAACACTGTCACGCTCCAGTACACTCAGAAACACTCAAGAAACACTGTCACGCTCAAGGACACTTAGAAACATTCCAACACTGTCACGCTCCAGTACACTCAGAAACACTCCAACACTGTCATGCTCTAGTACACTCAGAAACACAGCATGCTCCAGTACACTCAGAAACACTCCAACACTGTCACGCTCCAGTACACTCATAAACACTCCAACACTGTCACGCTCCAGTACACTCAGAAACTCTCAAGAAACACTGTCACGCTCCAGTACACTCAGAAACACTCCAACACTGTCACGCTCCAGTACACTCAGAAACACTCAAAAAACACTGTCACAATGACACACTCTAGTACACTCAGAAACTCTCAAGAAAAACTCAAGAAACACTGTCACATTCGTGTTAACTCAGAAACTCTCAAGAAGTTCCATCACAATGACACACTCAAGTACACTCAAAAATCTCAAAAAACCCTGTCAGACTTGAGTACAATCAGAAACACCAAAGAAGAAACACCGACACAATGACAAACTCTAGTTCACTCAGAAACTCTCACAGAAACCCTGTCAGGGTCGAGTACAATCAGAAACACAGACACAATGACAAACTCTAGTTCACTCAGAAAATCTCACAGAAACCCTGTCAGGGTCGAGTACAATCAGAAACACCGACACAATGACAAACTCTAGTTAACTTAGAAACTCTCACAGAAACCCTGTCAGGGTCGAGTACAATCAGAAACACTAAAGAAGAAACACCAACACACTGACAAACTCGAGTTCACTCAGAAACTCTCACAGAAACCCTGTCAGGGTCGAGTACTGACACTCTAGCACACAATGACACACTCTAGCACAGCACACAATGACACACTCCAGCACACACTGACATACTCTAGCACACACTGACACTTTAGCACACACTGACACACTCTAGCAAACACTGACACACTCCAGCACACACTGACACACTGTAGCACACACTGACACACTCTAGCCCAGCACACACTGACACACTCTAGCACACAATGACACACTCCAGCACACACTGACATACTCTAGCACACACTGACACTTTAGCACACACTGACACACTCTATCAAACACTGACACACTCTAGCACACACTGACACACTCCAGCACACACTGACACACTCTAGCACACAATGACACACTCTAGCACACAATGACACACTCTAGCACAGCACACACTCCAGCACACTCTAGCACACACTGACACACTTTAGCACACACTGACACACTCTAGCAAACACTGACACACTCTAGCACACACTGACACACTCCAGCACACACTCTAGCACACACTCTAGCACAGCACACAATGACACACTCCAGCACACAATGACACACTCCAGCACACACTGACACACTGTAGCACACACTGACACACTCTAGCACAGCACACAATGACACACTCTAGCACACAATGACACACTCCAGCACACACTGACACACTGTAGCACACACTGACACACTCTAGCACAGCACACACTGACACACTCTAGCACACAATGACACAGTCTGACTAGGTTTGGTGGAATAAATGAAATGATGGAAGCCTTAATGGCAATCAAGCAGATGAAATGAAGAGGTCATAGTTGGATATCATTCTTCATAAACATTACATTATGTTTACCATTATGTATTTTACAGTTTACTAACAGTATATAATAGTTAAAATGTACATATTCAATAGTATCTACAAATTCAGCTCATAATGCTACTGTAATAATAATTAAAAGCAATTGTTCACATAATTATGCAATAATATATATGCAGTAAAATTGTAATCTTTCAAGAGATTCTTTAAAAAAAACATAAATGAATGCAATAGAAAACAACAGAAATTAAAATTGTATGGTAGAAACAAGTGTTGGATGCATGCTCCTAAGTAAACTTGTGTGGATCATCATGCAACCCTGTCACTACTAAGATAGTTTTATTGGAATTTAGCAGCAACTGTATGGGTAGGTATTGCTGAAGAAGTTTCAAATTTAAGTTATATCAGTAGCTAGAATATATTTAGAACTTCAAAGGTATTGCAGTCATGAACATATTTCAGACTTTATCAGGTGCTTGAAAGTCAATGTCAATGTAAGTACGATCACATACATCCTGGATTAATTCCTTGTCGAGATAATAAGCAGCCATCCTTGTAAGCTATTACAGCCTGTTTTCCCTTAGACCACCTGGGACTAGCCAGATTATTGAGTTCATGGGTTACCCTGGATATTACTGCATTTAAACAAGTTAGTCCACAAATTTAACTCATGAAAACTGTTCAATCTCATTAGGACATACGTTTAGAAGCATTCTTAACATGCACTTTACCACGACACAAATTAGAATTGGGATATTCCTGTCAGCTATATAACTCTTCATTACTATGGTGATGACAGGACCATAAAAACAACAGGTCGCTTTGACATCTCAGTCAAAGGACAAGTCATGGACTAACATCAGGTATCTAAAAATAACTATATCACTAAGACACAAGGCAGTGTCATACAGACCATGTCACATGACCACATGGCTGGGTAACACATGACCAAATTGCAGATCACATGACCACATGGCCAGATATTACATGGTCACACAGCTATGCATCACATCATATATCTGGTTATTTCATGATCACATGGTTGGGTATTACACAAACATATGGTGGGGTATCACACGGACACATGGTGGGGTATTACATGATCACAGCTCAGGATCGCAAGGTCACATGGCTGGGTATAGAAACACCACAGCTCAGCATCTCATGGTCAGTCACATGGCTGGGTATAACATGACCACACAGTTCAGCATCACAAGGTCACATGGCTGGGTATAGAAACACCACAGCTCAGCATCTCATGGTCAGTCACATGGCTGGGTATAACATGACCACACAGCTCAGCATCACAAGGTCACATGGCTCGGTATAGAAAGACCACAGTGCAGCATCTCATGGCTGGGTATAACATGATCTCACAGCTCAGCATCACAAGGTCACATGGCTCGGTATAGAAAGACCACAGCTCAGCATCTCATGGCTGGGTATAACATGATCACACAGCTCAGCATCACAAGGTCACATGGCTCGGTATAACATGATCACACAGCTCAGCATCATATGATCACATGGCTGGGTATATAATGATCACACAGCTGAGCATCATATGATCACATAGCTGGGTATATGATCACATGGCTGGGTATATGATCACATGGCTGGGTATATGATCACATGGCTCGGTATAACATGATCACACAGCTCAGCATCACATGGTCACATTGCTCGGTATAACATGATCACACAGCTCAGAATGGTAACATGGCTCGGTATAACATGATCACACAACTCAGCATCTCATGGTCACATTGCTGGGTATATAATGATCACACAGCTGAGCATCATATGATCACATGGCTGGGTATATGATCACACAACTCAGCATCACATTGCTGGATATAACATGATCACACAACTCAGCATCTCATGGTCACATTGCTGGGTATAACATGATCACACAGCTCAGCATGGTAACATGGCTCGGTATAACATGATCACACTGCTCAGCATCATATGATCACATGGCTGGGTATATGATCACACATTTCAGCATCACATTGCTGGGTATAACATGATCACACAGCTCAGCATGGTAACATGGCTCGGTTAAATGATCACACAACTCAGCATCTCATGGTCACATTGCTGGGTATATAATGATCACATAGCTGAGCATCATATGATCACATGGTTGGGTATAACATGATCACACAGCTCAGCATCACATGGTTGGGTATAACATGATCCCACAGCTCAGCATCACATGGTTGGGTATAACATGATCACACAGCTATGTTCTCTGATCACGGTATATGACCACACACCATCATATGACTACAGCCAGGATGGAAAGACAAGATTTACAGAATTCAGCGTCAACAGTAGTAAGTCCATCCTACCTAAACAAGCGAGCAAAGTCTCTCAGAGCGTTGGACACCTGCTTTACATTCTCAGCACTGCAAGATAACAAATATATTATATTATAATTGTCCAAACTTATGAGAATGTAAAAAAACGCTCAGTATATTATTAGTTATCTCTGGGTTAGGAGGGGTCTATGAGCCCGTATACCCCTCCTAACCCAGAGATAACAAATTTGTCACCCTGACAATCTTTGAGATAGTCTATTACTTTTTTTGTGCACAGTTATAAGTCACTGTGTGAGTTAACGTTTGAGTTGTAAGGTGACAATACCTAAATCGGATCACTTTTTGCAAAAATACTTATAATTCAATAAATGTGTCAACAAAACAGTTATAACAACGGTGTAGCCTTATAATAGATAGCCATGTACCCTTTTTTTGTCTACAGATGATTAGTTTTTAAGTTTGAATAGCACCAGAAAACGTAATTCAAACCCAAATGTTAGTGATTTGATAGTCCGAATTATTCTGACGTTTTATCGACTTTTTTCATATCGGTCTGTCATCGATTAACATCAGAACTCCAACCCTCTATAATATGCGGGAAATATGCGACCCGCACCCGGAGCGCACTTCAAACTGATATTTTAGAAACAAATCGTCACTTTCACACACATGTCCGCATGGATTGAAAGATCTATTCTTTATGCATTAGATGGTATCAATAACATGTTTCAAAGATCATTACGAAAAGGTTTTCCCCAACGTTATGACGTAGGCCGGCAAGATTTTAGTCACGTGCCATTAGAAGGTGGGGCTATCAAAAAACTAGAGTAAAACAGAGTAAATTTGAAAAAATGTTTTTAGTGATTGTATTGGTTGTTTGAGGCATGTTATGAATGTTCATCTTGTGCATAAAGAATAGATCTTTCGATCCATGTGCGACATGTGTGTATATTATACATATACATATTATGCATATTATAGAGGGCCGGAGTTCTGACGTTAATCGACGACAGACCGATATGAAAAAAGTCGATAAAACGTCAGAATGATTCGGACTAGTGTTTTGATAACGTTTTTAAAAAATGGCGCACCGTGCGACGACTATGCATTCTGTTTTGGACTATAGGAATAAATTCACACTACAGAAATACTTTTTGTTATATAAATTCTAAAGGTCATCATAAAATGATAATGTGCTGACAAAAAAATATTCATTTGAAGTGTAAGATACTGCAAAATTCAAGCCTTGATCCAATTTGGGTCCTGGTGATGATGGTTCCGATTTGGGTCACCTTACTTAACTGCTACCAAAATAGCCCCTACCGGACATCTTTTCGGCAACATTTCGGACAGTTCACAACCATCTTTGTAATTAGCACCCTAGCAGCCCCCTCATTCCCTGTTTCATTAAATCTGCTGTCAATTAAGTAGGCTATTTTATCCTGTGAATGATTGACACACCTCGAATGCTTGTGTGTGTCGAACACCATCTTTGTTGCTATGAAGAGAGATTCTAGTTTGAGTTATCTCCCCTCGCACATGCTTTTAAAGACCCCGGCAGAGCGGGGTATATAGAAATATAGACCCCGGCAAGATATCCAATCAGAAAGAGTGCTACAAATTAGAAGGGTGACAAATATGCTTACAGACAACAAGATATCCCAGAGGGACCATGGCGCCCACTATTGTATCATCTTCATTAGTTCTATGTTAGTTTGATCTTTTCTCTTTTTTTCCACTTATCTGTTTGATCGATTCATGTAAAAGCTATACAGTAAATGCACCTTGATGTGACTTTTGATCTTATCTTCATTATACTGCTGTGTATAAACAAGAGGCCCATGGGCCTAAACGGTCACCTGAGTCCTACAGTATTTATTTTTATTGTTGAAATATGTACCAATTTGAGTACAAAATAGTTAAGTATAACGTTAACTCAAGTTTGACAGGAACATGAGCTGATCATTCCTAAATCGAGTTTCAGTTAAATCGTCCTATTAGAACTTGTTTTTAAGTTTGAAATAGTTTTTCAAAATGGCGGCCGTGTCGGCCATATTGGATATCTGATCGACCCGAAAAATAACACTTTGTCAGGACCATGAGTTGATCATTCCTACCAGGTTTCAGTTCAATCGGACCAGCAGAACTTGAGTTTAAGTTTGAAATAGTTTTTCAAAATGGCGGCCATATTGGATTTCTGATCGACCCGAAAAATAACAACACTTGGTCAGGGAGATGTCAGTAACCTTCCCATGAAATATTAATGAAATCCCTTTGCCAGTATTTCAGCTTAAGTTGAAAATGTAAAATGTTAACGGACGACCGACGACGTACGAAGACGGATAGCAATAGGTCACTTGAGCTAAAAGCTCAGGTGACCTAAAAATACAACCTTCAAAGTGAGTTTGTTGTTTCACATATTTACTAGTACAGTACTTAATGTGGAAGAAATGGAACCGATCATTGCAATATGAGAAAGATCTGCATTCTCAAAATAGAATATGCATAACTACAGACCAAGGGGAATCTACATATCCAATTTCGGAAAGATACCTCAAGTACTTTCTAGGAATTATCAATGACAATATTTAACTGTAAATGTGCACAACTAAAGACAAATGGAAACCTACTTATCAAATTTGTGAATGATCCTTCAAGTTCTAACTGAAAAATGGTGATAAAAAACGTGAACTCTAATTCAAGATGGTAGGCAGCCTATTGGCCATGTTGATTTTCTGATCAGTCCTAAAACTTGCTATGTATAACTTGGGACCATTGGGGGCCTTCATGGGAAATATGAGAAAGATCCATCTGGTAATTTCTGAGAAATAGAGCTAACAATCTTAAACTATAAGAAATTCAAGATGGCCCCTATCCACTATCTAGATTATCCAATCAGTCCCAAAATTTAATATTCATAACAAAGGATCCGGGGGGAACCTTCATGTGAAATGTGGGAAAAATGCCTCTGGTACTTTCTGAGAAAAAGCACTGACAAACTTTAACTCTAACAATTCAAGATGGCACCTATCGGTCATCTTGGTCTTTTGATCTGCAAGACCCATAATACGATATGCATAACTACAGACCATAGGGACCTGGGGAACCTTCATGTGAAGTTTGAGAAAGATCCCTCTGGTACTTTCTGAGAAATAGCGCTAACACTAATTGCTCAAGTACGGATGGACAGAATGAGAGACGGACGAAGAACCATGGACAAAGGGCAATTTGAATAGCCCACCATCTGATGACAGTGGGCTAAAAATGCATGTGGACTTCATGTAGCCATGAGACATAATGTAATGTGTTTAAATGGTGAGAGTTTCTTGGAAGTGTTTAGCTGTATACAATGTGAGAACCAAGTTGAATAGTGCAAAATGATGAAAGCCTTGTGGAAGTACACAAGTTTACTGAAAGCCTTGTGGAAGTACACAAGTTTACTGAAAGGCTTGTGGAAGTACACAAGTTTACTAAAAGCCTTGTGGAAGTACACAAGTTTACTGAGAGCTGCTTGGAAGTGTGTAGCAGTCTACTGATACTCAATCAATCAATATTCTATTATAGTGTCACGCATCATTAAATTCACAAACAATCATTCATAAAATATCATATACAGCGAGTTTACAAAAGATGCCCAGCCGATATCGGCTTATGAGACACTTGTAACTATTTGTATGTACATCATGTGTATGATGAAAGTGAAGACCTAGCATATATGCCTATAAAATATCCTCATAATAAATAAAACAACTTTTCAGTTGAAGTAAGTTCATTAAAATAAATATAGGAGTTCAGTGTTTTTGAATAGATCATATCTGATATCACTATACACAGGACAGTCACAAAGGAAATGAGACTCATCTTCCACTATATTTAAGCAGAAAGGGCATCTCTTTTGCTCTACTGGCAAGTTACTGTAGCGTCCAGTTTCCAACATTAAGGGGAGAAAACCGAGTCTGATTTTAGCCTCATGAACTAGTTAAATGTTAGTCTATCAGCTGGATTCTTAAACATGATATGGTGCATAGAAATAAATTACCTGGTGAGGGCCTTGTGGATATGTGTAACAGTTTTCCTGATGAACCTCATGTAACAGGTAAATTTGAAGCTGTTTGTCGGTCAGCTGTGTTGTGTCAAACATGAGATGGTCTGTTAATGTTTACCTGGTAAGGGCCTTGTTTAAGTGTGTGAAAAGTTACCTGGTGAGGGCCTTGTTTAAGTGTGTGAAAAGTTACCTGGTGAGGGCCTTGTGGATATGTGTAACAGTTTTCCTGATGAACCTCACGTAACAGGTAAATTTGAAGCTGTTTGTCTGTCAGCTGTGTTGTGTCAAACATGAGATGGTCTGTTAATGTTTACCTGGTAAGGGCCTTGTTGAAGTGTGTGAAAAGTTACCTGGTTAGGGCCTTGTTTAAGTGTGTGAAAAGTTATCTGGTGAGGGCCTTGTTTAAGTGTGTGAAAAGTTACCTTGTGAGGGCCTTGTAAAAGTGTGTGAAAAGTTACCTGGTGAGGGCATTGTTGAAGTGTATAATGTTTTACCTGGTGAGAGCCTTGTTGAAGTGTGTAATGTTTTACCTGGTTGAGGGCCTTGTTGAAGTGTGTGAAAAGTTACCTGGTGAGGGCCTTGTTGAAGTGTGTGAAAAGTAGCCTGGTGAGGGCCTTGTTTAAGTGTGTGAAAAGTTACCAGGTGAGAGCCTTGTTAAAGTGTGTGAAAAGTTACCTGGTGAGGGCATTGTTGAAGTGTGTAATGTTTTACCTGGTGAGGGCATTGTTTAAGTGTATAATGTTTTACCTGGTTGACGGCCCTGTTGAAGTGTGTAATGTTTTACCTGGTGTGGGCATTGTTTAAGTGTATAATGTTTTACCTGGTTGAGGGCCTTGTTGAAGTGTGTAATGTTTTACCTGGTGTGGGCATTGTTGAAGTGTGTAATGTTTTACCTGGTGAGAGCCTTGTTGAAATGTGTAATGTTTTACCTGGTTGAGGGCATTGTTGAAGTGTGTAATGTTTTACCTGGTGTGGGCCTTGTTGAAATGTGTAATGTTTTACCTGGTTGAGGGCCTTGTTGAAGGGTGTAATGTTTTACCTGGTGAGGGCCTTGTTGAAATGTGTAATGTTTTACCTGGTTGAGGGCATTGTTGAAGTGCGTAATGTTTTACCTGGTGAGAGCCTTGTTGAAGTGTGTAATGTTTTACCTGGTGAGAGCCATGTTGAAGTGTGTAATGTTTTACCTGGTGAGCGCATTGTTGAAGTGTGTAATGTTTTACCTGGTAACGGCCTTGTTGAAATGTGTAATGTTTTACCTGGTGAGGGCATTGTTGAAGTGTGTAATGTTTTACCTGGTGAGGACATTGTTGAAGTGTGTGATGTTTTACCTGGTGAGGGCATTGTTGAAGTGTGTAATGTTTTACCTGGTGAGAGCCTTGTTGAAATGTGTAATGTTTTACCTGGTTGAGGGCCTTGTTGAAGTGTGTAATGTTTTACCTGGTAACGGCCTTGTTGAAATGTGTAATGTTTTACCTGGTTGAGGGCCTTGTTGAAGTGTGTAATGTTTTACCTGGTGAGGGCCTTGTTGAAATATGTAATGTTTTACCTGGTGAGGGCATAGTTGAAGTGTGTAATGTTTTACCTGGTGAGGGCTTTGCTGAAATGTGTAATGTTTTACCTGGTGAGGGCTTTGTCGAAGTGTGTAATGTTTTACCTGGTGAGGGCCATGTTGAAGTGTGTAATGTTTTACCTGGTGAGAGCCATGTTGAATGTTGAAGTGTGTAATGTTTTACCTGGTGAGGTCTTTGTTGAAATGTGTAATGTTTTACCTGGTGAGGTCATAGTTGAAGTGTGTAATGTTTTACCTGGTGAGGGTCTTGTTGAAGTGTGTAATGTTTTGCCTGGTGAGGGCCTTGTTGAAGTGTGTAATGTTTTACATGGTGAGGGCCTTGTTGAAGTGTGTAATGTTTTACCTGTTGAGGGCCTTGTTGAAGTGTGTAATGTTTTACCTTGTGAGGGCCTTGTTGAAATGTGTAATTTTTTACCTGGTGAGGGCCTTGTTGAAGTGTGTAATGTTTCACCTGGTGAGGGCCTTGTTGAAGTGTGTAATGTTTCACCTGGTGAGGGCCTTGTTGAAGTGTGTAATATTTTACCTGGTGAGGGCCTTGTTGAAGTGTGTAATATTTTACCTGGTGAGGGCCTTGTTGAAGTGTGTAATATTTTACCTGGTGAGGGCCTTGTTGAAGTGTGTCATGTTTTACCTGGTGAGAGCCTTGAAGTGTGTAATGTTTTACCTGGTGAGGGCATAGTTGAAGTGTGTAATGTTTTACCTGGTGAGGTCTTTGTTGAAATGTGTAATGTTTTACCTGGTGAGGCCATTGTTGAAGTGTGTAATGTTTTACCTGGTGAGAGCCTTGAAGTGTGTAATGTTTTACCTGGTGAGGGCATAGTTGAAGTGTGTAATGTTTTACCTGGTGAGGTCTTTGTTGAAATGTGTAATGTTTTACCTGGTGAGCGCATTGTTGAAGAGTGTAATGTTTTACCTGGTGAGAGCCATGTTGAAGTGTGTAATGTTTTACCTGGTGAGCGCCTTGTTGAAGTGTGTAATGTTTTACCTGGGGAGGGCCTTGTTGAAGTGTGTAATGTTTTACCTGGTTGAGGGCCTTGTTTAAGTGTGTAATGTTTTACCTGGTGAGGGCCTCGTTGAAGTGTGTAATGTTTTACCTGGTGAGGGTCTTGTTGAAGTGTGTAATGTTTTGCCTGGTGAGGGCCTTGTTGAAGTGTGTAATGTGTTGAAGTGTGTAATGTTTTACCTGGTGAGGGCGTTGTTGAAGTGTGTAATGTTTTACCTGGTGAGAGCATGGAAGTGTGTAATGTTTTACCTGGTGAGGGCCTTGCTGAAGTGTGTAATGTTTTACCTGGTGAGAGCATGGAAGTGTGTAATGTTTTACCTGGTGAGGGCCATGTTGAAGTGTGTAATGTTTTACCTGGTGAGCGCATTGTTGAAGAGTGTAATGTTTTACCTGGTGAGAGCCATGTTGAATGTTGAAGTGTGTAATGTTTTACCTGGTGAGGTCTTTGTTGAAATGTGTAATGTTTTACCTGGTGAGCGCATTGTTGAAGAGTGTAATGTTTTACCTGGTGAGGGCCTTGTTGAAGTGCGTAATGTTTTTCCTGGTGAGGGCCTTGTTGAAGTGTGTAATGTGTTGAAGTGTGTAATGTTTTACCTGGTGAGGTCTTTGTTGAAATGTGTAATGTTTTACCTGGTGAGGGCTTTGTCGAAGTGTGTAATGTTTTACCTGGTGAGGGCCTCGTTGAAGTGTGTAATGTTTTACCTGGTGAGGGCCATGTTGAAGTGTGTAATGTTTTACCTGGTGAGAGCATGGAAGTGTGTAATGTTTTACCTGGTGAGGGCCATGTTGAAGTGTGTAATGTTTTACCTGGTGAGGGCGTTGTTGAAGTGTGTAATGTTTTACCTGGTGAGCGCATTGTTGAAGAGTGTAATGTTTTACCTGGTGAGGGCCTTGTTGAAGTTTTTACCTGGTGAGGGCCTTGTTGAAGTGTGGAATGTTTTACCTGGTGAGGGCCTTGTTGAAGTGCGTAATGTTTTACCTGGTGAGGGCCTTGTTGACGTGTGTAATGTTTTACCTGGTGAGGGCCTTGTGAAAGTGTGTAATGTTTTACCTGGTGAGGGCCTTGGTGAAGTGTGTAATGTTTTACCTGGTGAGGGCTTTGCTGAAATGTGTAATGTTTTACCTGGTGAGGGCCTTGTTGAAGTGTGTAATGTTTTACCTGGTGAGGGCTTTGTTGAAATGTGTAATGTTTTACCTGGTGAGGGCTTTGTTGAAGTGTGTAATGTTTTACCTGGTGAGGGCCTTGCTGAAGTGTGTAATGTTTTACCTGGTGAGAGCCTTGTTGAAATGTGTAATGTTTTACCTGGTGAGGGCTTTGTTGAAGTGTGTAATGTTTTACCTGGTGAGGGCCTTGCTGAAGTGTGTAATGTTTTACCTGGTGAGGGCATTGTTGAAGTGAGTATTGTTTTACCTGGTGAGGGCCTTGTTGAAGTGTGTAATGTTTTACCTGGTGAGGGCCTTGTGAAAGTCAGTCAGCTGCTTATGAGTTGCTGTCACTGCCCCTCCACTGCTCTCTGTTTGAAGCGACTTTAACATGGTCTCCAGCCATTTACAAAAAACCTGGTGACAAACATGTAAAGATGTCATGCAAATATATTCAACAAAAGCTAAACATGGTCTTAAATTGTAATGTAATAATTCACTGATGCATTCATTAACTCTTTTGCATACAATATGCATATCATATTATCATCTTTATACTACTTTATACCACCTACCGGTAGTATGATAAATTCATTATCATAGGTTGTCAGTATGAGAAGAAGTTGAGAATGACTTGAGAACAACTTGGCGATCGTTGACCATTGAGCTTAGAAGTCATTTGGAAAACAGGGTGTTTAGTTGAGTTTTTAAAGGCAAGAAATATATAAGGTAGTAGTATATAGATGATGAATAGTTTATCATACAGTATTTTCAGGGTTTGTCGTTTGAATAATTTTCTCATAGCTCGCACGTAGATAAAATGTCGAGGACACCTGCGGTGACCTCTCGATTTTATCCACGTGGTCGCGATGAGAAAATTGTTCTCACGACAAACCCTAAAAATACAGTGTGATAATCTATAATTACCATTTCTGCACTCGGATACCTGGTGTCATGTCACCTAAAAGGTTTATGATTTACGTTGAGCAGCAGAGTTCAACCACTGAAATAAGCAATGTCTCGATTGCCTTCAATTCCCCTGTTTGAAAGGATATGTATGTCATCTCTGGTGCACCAAGAATTAGACACAATGTATGAAAAGATATATTGTTTGCGGGAATCATGAAAGGGTGTGTCCAAATATAATCACTGGTCAAACACCCATTATCCTATACAAGGAAGGTAACACCTTGTTAAATTTCCAATATACAATGTCAGGTACCACTTCACAAGCCCAAGGGTTCTGATTTGTTAAACAGGCATGGTTTGATTTTTCTTTTTTTTGTGCTGTTCTATGAAAAACTGGTAATAATTATAAAGATATATCAAACAACTTCAGTTAAAGCTGAATACCTATTAACATTCCTTAGCAATCAATCTCCATGATGGACTATTACAGCAGTGATAAGGTTAATACATACTGGCCTGTCGATGACCATGAGTTCATAGATGACCTCTCCGATGTCAACAGTCATAAAAGTGGGTAGGGAGAAGATACAGCCATTGACTAGAGCATTAACCAGAGCTTGTCCGTGCTCAGTGAGCAGCGCCTTCACCAATGTTTGTTTGGCTGCAAAGTCATCTTTGTCCTGTAAATCCAAACACACTTATCAAATCAAAATCCAAGATACTGCTATCATGTTGTCTGAGAGCACTAAACTTTAAAAAAAACCACATTTAACCTAAGGATATCTATACAGGGTTAGAATTGAAGTCATTGTGTATAAACCTTAACTGGAGGATATCTATACAGTGATAAAATTGGAGTCATTTTTTATAAACCTTAACTGGAGGATAGCTGTACAGTGATAGAATTGGAGGCATTGTATATAAACCTTAACTGGGGGATAGCTTTACAGTGACAGAATTGGAGTCATTGTTTATAAACCTTAACTGGGGCATAGCTGTACAGTGATAGAATTGGAGTCATTGTTTATTAACCTTAACTGGAGGCTAGCTGTACAGGGTTAGAATTGGAGTAATTGTTTATAAACCTTAACTGGAGGATAGCTGTACAGTGATAGAATTGGAGTCATTGTTTATAAACCTTAACTGGAGGATAGCTGTACAGTGATAGAATTGGAGTCATTGTTTATAAACCTTAACTGGAGGATAGCTGTACAGTGATAGAATTGGAGTCATTGTTTATAAACCTTAACTGGAGGATAGCTGTACAGTGATAGAATTGGAGTCATTGTTTATAAACCTTAACTGGAGGATAGCTGTACAGTGATAGAATTGGAGTCATTGTTTATAAACCTTAACTGGAGGATAGCTGTACAGTGATAGAATTGGAGTCATTGTTTATAAACCTTAACTGGAGGATAGCTGTACAGTGATAGAATTGGAGTCATTGTTTATAAACCTTAACTGGAGGATAGCTGTACAGTGATAGAATTGGAGTCATTGTTTATAAACCTTAACTGGAGGATAGCTGTACAGTGATAGAATTGGAGTCATTGTTTATAAACCTTAACTGGAGGATAGCTGTACAGTGATAGAATTGGAGTCATTGTTTATAAACCTTAACTGGAGGATAGCTGTACAGTGATAGAATTGGAGTCATTGTTTATAAACCTTAACTGGAGGATAGCTGTACAGTGATAGAATTGGAGTCATTGTTTATAAACCTTAACTGGAGGATAGCTGTACAGTGATAGAATTGGAGTCATTGTTTATAAACCTTAACTGGAGGATAGCTGTACAGTGATAGAATTGGAGTCATTGTTTATAAACCTTAACTGGAGGATAGCTGTACAGTGATAGAATTGGAGTCATTGTTTATAAACCTTAACTGGAGGATAGCTGTACAGTGATAGAATTGGAGTCATTGTTTATAAACCTTAACTGGAGGATAGCTGTACAGTGATAGAATTGGAGTCATTGTTTATAAACCTTAACTGGAGGATAGCTGTACAGTGATAGAATTGGAGTCATTGTTTATAAACCTTAACTGGAGGATAGCTGTACAGTGATAGAATTGGAGTCATTGTTTATAAACCTTAACTGGAGGATAGCTGTACAGTGATAGAATTGGAGTCATTGTTTATAAACCTTAACTGGAGGATAGCTGTACAGTGATAGAATTGGAGTCATTGTTTATAAACCTTAACTGGAGGATAGCTGTACAGTGATAGAATTGGAGTCATTGTTTATAAACCTTAACTGGAGGATAGCTGTACAGTGATAGAATTGGAGTCATTGTTTATAAACCTTAACTGGAGGATAGCTGTACAGTGATAGAATTGGAGTCATTGTTTATAAACCTTAACTGGAGGATAGCTGTACAGTGATAGAATTGGAGTCATTGTTTATAAACCTTAACTGGAGGATAGCTGTACAGTGATAGAATTGGAGTCATTGTTTATAAACCTTAACTGGAGGATAGCTGTACAGTGATAGAATTGGAGTCATTGTTTATAAACCTTAACTGGAGGATAGCTGTACAGTGATAGAATTGGAGTCATTGTTTATAAACCTTAACTGGAGGATAGCTGTACAGTGATAGAATTGGAGTCATTGTTTATAAACCTTAACTGGAGGATAGCTGTACAGTGATAGAATTGGAGTCATTGTTTATAAACCTTAACTGGAGGATAGCTGTACAGTGATAGAATTGGAGTCATTGTTTATAAACCTTAACTGGAGGATAGCTGTACAGTGATAGAATTGGAGTCATTGTTTATAAACCTTAACTGGAGGATAGCTGTACAGTGATAGAATTGGAGTCATTGTTTATAAACCTTAACTGGAGGATAGCTGTACAGTGATAGAATTGGAGTCATTGTTTATAAACCTTAACTGGAGGATAGCTGTACAGTGATAGAATTGGAGTCATTGTTTATAAACCTTAACTGGAGGATAGCTGTACAGTGATAGAATTGGAGTCATTGTTTATAAACCTTAACTGGAGGATAGCTGTACAGTGATAGAATTGGAGTCATTGTTTATAAACCTTAACTGGAGGATAGCTGTACAGTGATAGAATTGGAGTCATTGTTTATAAACCTTAACTGGAGGATAGCTGTACAGTGATAGAATTGGAGTCATTGTTTATAAACCTTAACTGGAGGATAGCTGTACAGTGATAGAATTGGAGTCATTGTTTATAAACCTTAACTGGAGGATAGCTGTACAGTGATAGAATTGGAGTCATTGTTTATAAACCTTAACTGGAGGATAGCTGTACAGTGATAGAATTGGAGTCATTGTTTATAAACCTTAACTGGAGGATAGCTGTACAGTGATAGAATTGGAGTCATTGTTTATAAACCTTAACTGGAGGATAGCTGTACAGTGATAGAATTGGAGTCATTGTTTATAAACCTTAACTGGAGGATAGCTGTACAGTGATAGAATTGGAGTCATTGTTTATAAACCTTAACTGGAGGATAGCTGTACAGTGATAGAATTGGAGTCATTGTTTATAAACCTTAACTGGAGGATAGCTGTACAGTGATAGAATTGGAGTCATTGTTTATAAACCTTAACTGGAGGATAGCTGTACAGTGATAGAATTGGAGTCATTGTTTATAAACCTTAACTGGAGGATAGCTGTACAGTGATAGAATTGGAGTCATTGTTTATAAACCTTAACTGGAGGATAGCTGTACAGTGATAGAATTGGAGTCATTGTTTATAAACCTTAACTGGAGGATAGCTGTACAGTGATAGAATTGGAGTCATTGTTTATAAACCTTAACTGGAGGATAGCTGTACAGTGATAGAATTGGAGTCATTGTTTATAAACCTTAACTGGAGGATAGCTGTACAGTGATAGAATTGGAGTCATTGTTTATAAACCTTAACTGGAGGATAGCTGTACAGTGATAGAATTGGAGTCATTGTTTATAAACCTTAACTGGAGGATAGCTGTACAGTGATAGAATTGGAGTCATTGTTTATAAACCTTAACTGGAGGATAGCTGTACAGTGATAGAATTGGAGTCATTGTTTATAAACCTTAACTGGAGGATAGCTGTACAGTGATAGAATTGGAGTCATTGTTTATAAACCTTAACTGGAGGATAGCTGTACAGTGATAGAATTGGAGTCATTGTTTATAAACCTTAACTGGAGGATAGCTGTACAGTGATAGAATTGGAGTCATTGTTTATAAACCTTAACTGGAGGATAGCTGTACAGTGATAGAATTGGAGTCATTGTTTATAAACCTTAACTGGAGGATAGCTGTACAGTGATAGAATTGGAGTCATTGTTTATAAACCTTAACTGGAGGATAGCTGTACAGTGATAGAATTGGAGTCATTGTTTATAAACCTTAACTGGAGGATAGCTGTACAGTGATAGAATTGGAGTCATTGTGTATAAACCTTAACTGGAGGATAGCTATACAGGGTTAGAATTTGAGTAAGTTTTGAAACCTTCACTTGAGTATAATAATTAAAGTACACGGTTATACTTGGTGTCAGTGTGTATAAACCTTAATGCTTATGACATCAGTGTCACCTCATTAATACTAGTATGGTCAAAAGGAGGGTAAAACAGGCCATGCTCCTGAAGTGTTTACAAATCTAATAATGATACAAACCTCTTTGCGTGTGGCGCAGGAAAGGAAATCTGTGAGATATTTCATAACAGAGGCATTGGCATCACGATGGTCCAAAGAACAGGCAGCGATGGCACAACAAAGGATTGGCTTGGCCATAGCACACTCGAGGTAGGGTAGAGTGGCCCGCTGTACAAACCTGTCAAATAATATACCACACTCAGAGCTACAATATACCACAAAAAAGGATTGGCTTGGCCATAGTACACTTGAGGTAGGGAGGAGTGGCCCGCTGTACAAACCTGCCAAATACAGTGCATAAAGCATAAACTTATTATGAACAAGAGGCCCAGAAGGCCTGTATCGCTCACCTGTTTCTTTTGTTACATGCAACTGACATATAGGTAACTAAAGACCAAATTTGGTAACTAGAACACAAGACATTTTAACATCTCTTAAACGGTTCTGAAGATATTGTTGTTTGAAACTTAAAATTTTAATTTTAAAGCTTTAAACCCATATTGACCTTTGAATCCCAATTTGCACATAAGTTGACCTTTGACCTCATTACTGTAATGAAGAAAACAATTCACACAGCTGGTCTACATAACATACCTAAGTATCATGACTAGTCCAAATAGTTTTTAGGATATTGTTGTTTGAAGTTTTTAACATATTTGACTCCTGTGACCTTGAAAGTAGGTCAAGGTAATTTTAATGAGGAAACTTTATAGCACTCCATTCCAGGTACCTACTGGCTAAATATCATGACCCTGGGCCTAATGGAACTTGAGAAGGAGATTGTTTAAAGCTTTTAACCAAAGTTGACATTTGACCCCCGACTAGCATTTAAAGTTGAACTTTGACCTTACAACTGTAACTGAGAAAAATATTCGAACTGCTGGTCTACATAACATACCTAAGTATCATGACTCTAGTTCAAATGGTTCTTAGGATATTGTTGTTTGAAATTTTTAACATATTTGACTCCTGTGACCTTCAAAGCAGGTCTAGGTCTTTTTAATGAGTAAACTTTATAGCACCACATCCCAGGTACTTACTGTCCAAATATCATGACCCTGGGCCTTTTGGAACTTGAGAAGAAGACTGTTAAAGCTTTTAACAAAAGTTGACCTTTGACCTCATAACTGTAACTGAAACAAGAGGCCCAAGGGCCTTAGCGGTCACCTGAGTTATATCATAGGTACTGGTAGCTTTATTTTATTGTTTAGATGTGATGTGGAAATCAGCATGTAAACTAAGTGAAATACAATACTTGTCTTGTCATCAAAGGATAAGAATTTGAAAATATTGGTAAATGTTCCCTTTGGGTGACGGGGCAGGAATCCCAATTTTCTAAAGTAATACTCTCATTCACCAAAGATGATTCTGACTAAGTTTGAGTAATTGTCTGCTGAAAATGGATAAAATATATACCCAAAAGTGTTATTTCCCTATATAAACTATAGTAAACTTTACCCCCTCCCCAAGGGAGAATGGATAGCTCGGTGGTCCTGAAATTTACAATTTAAATAAATCCCCTGATTTTCTTTTTATCCAGGCAGAGAAAATGACTGTAATACCTCTGAGTCTGGAGAAGAAGATTTTTGAAATATTGGTCAATTTTCCCTTTAGGCCCCGCCCTGGCCCCTAGGGTTGGGGTAGGAATCCCAATTTTACAATTTAAAACCATCTTCCTCCTCCAAGGATGATTTTGACCAAGTAAAAATAATTTCCAACAGAAAATTGTCAAAATATACCCAAAAGTGTTGTTTCCCTATATAAACTATAGTAAACTTTACCCCCTCCCCAAGGGAGAACGGATAGCTCGGGGGTCCTGAAATTTACAATTTAAATAAAGCCCCTGATGATCTTTCCATCCATGCAGAGAAAATGACTGTAATACCTCTGAGTCTGGAGAAGAAGATTTTTGAAATATTGGTTTATTTTCCGTTTTGGGCCCCGCCCTGGCCCCTAGGGTTGGGGTAGGAATCCCAATTTTACAATTTGGCATCCTCATCTACCAAGAATGATTCTGACCAAGTTTGAAAAAATTCCATCCACTGGTTCTTGAGAAGAAGTTGATTATGTAAAAGTTTACGCACGACGGACGACGACGGACGGAAAGTGATTGGAATAGGTCACTTGAGCAAAGCTCAGGTGACCTAAAAAATATTTGCACTGCTGGTTTACATAAAATACCCAAGTATCATAACTCTAGTTCAAATGGTTCTTAGGATATTCTTGTTTGAAATTTTTAACATATTTAACTTTTAACCAAAGTTGACATTTGACCCCCGACTAGCATTTAAAGTTGACCTTTGACCTCATAACTGTAATTTTTTTTTTTTTATTAGGATATTGTTGTTTGGAATTTTCCAACATATTTAACAGCTGTGACCTTGAAAGTAGGTTAAGGTCATTTTGCTGAGGAAACTTTATAGCACTCCATCCCAGGTACCTACTGACCAAATATCATGACCCTAGGTCCTACAGTTCTTCAGAAGAAGTCGTTCAAAAGAAAAAAATGATGGACGGTCGACGGACTTCAGACGCCTGATGCCGCAGTACGGCATCAGCTCACATGGCCCTTCGGGCCAGGTGAGCTAAAAATGCCAAATGTAACAATTTGACAATCATTTTGTGAATACTTCATATGATATTTGACTTATGTATACAGTAAATCATGTTATTAGACTCTCTTTCATTAGTGTATAGTTCATCAAACTATTAGACTTGCACACAATCTGTGTATAGATAATATAATTATTAGACCTACACAATCTGTGTAGAGTCAACCAAACTATTAGACCTACACACAACATGTGTAGAGTCAATCGAACTATTAGACCTACACACAACATGTGTA